ACCTAGGTGGGAGACACCACCCAAGTAGAGAACCTTACAAAAAATTTAATCCGAGGTGAATTCTGGCCAATTGTGTTCTACTCAGGCTTGAGTGGGGGGTACATCCTTTGTCTAGATTGCTTCAGGCTGGCAGTGGTCTGGGAGCAAGAGTGATGAGAGTCACATCCTTAGCCCCTCGTTAAAATATTTATTTTTCTCATTACTTGTTAACCAATCAGAGTTGATTGCCACTTTCAGGAACACTCAACTCTTCCAAGGGCATATAAGCAATGAATGGGCTCCATGAGGGGTCTTTGGCAGTCAAGAGTGCCACTGACTCCTTTTATTAATTATCCACTAGCAATGATTAATAAAATGATTAATTACCCAGAAACCACATCTCCTGAACTGTTCATATACCCCAGTGGGCTGAGGAGAGAGGTGCTAGCAGCTGAGAGGATCAAAAAAGGCCTGATGTAGGAGACAGCATTTGAGCTGAGCTTTGAAGCTAGGAGTTCTAAGGTGTGAAGTGAGGAGAAAATAGATTATACAGCATGTTCAAAGGCAGTAAGATGGAAAATAGAATGTTGTACATGAGGAATAGGAAGAGTTGGCCTGTTTGGCTGAATTGTAGTGTGTGAAGGGGAGTAAGACTGGAAGTGTAGATTGGAGCCAAATATGTTAGTATTTGATCCCAGAGGCAATAATAGGAAGAGCATTGGAGAAATAGACGTGTGCCTCAGGAATGTCACTTTGGCAACTGTGGTGAGGATTGATTGGAGAGGGGAGAGAATTGAGGCAAGGAAACCAATTAGGAGGTTATTGCCGTAGTCTAGGTGAGAGGTTACGAGGAATTAACTAGTATAGTGTGAGTGGAGAAAAGGTGACAGATGCAAGGGCTTTTGTGGAAATAAGATCTGGCAACTGATTGGATAGGTGAAGTAAGGGAGTATGATAAGGTAGGGATGCCTTGTGAACTTCGGCGCCTGGAAGGATGATAGTATCCAGGAGCATGCTAGTAAATATTTAACAACTTGCTCTCTGGAAAAAAATATATAGGCATTACACACTTCTAAATTTAATCTGCATTATTAAAATTTTCTCCATCAGTTTCTTAAGCTTAGTTGTTGTTGAGGTTCAGTCATGACCCCATTTGGAGTTTTCTTGGCAAAGACACTGGAGTAGTTTTGCCATTTTCTTCTGCAGCTCATTTTACAGATGAAGAACTGAGGCAAACAGTGTTAAGTGACTTGCCCAGGGTCACACAGCTAGTAAGCATCTGAGGTCAGATTAGAACGCAGGTCCTCCTGACTCCAGGGCATGAGCTCCATCCACTGCACCACTTAACTGCTTAGACAATCAACAAAACAAACCAAGTTATGATGTGTAATGTTTGCTGATTTCTGAGGTGTAAATGCTCATGCTGAAAATTCAACAATTGGCTCTCCTGCCTATAGAGCTGGCTCCAGGACACCCTTGGTATTATTACCTTAACGGAAATGGATAAGTTTAGAAAAATCTTTGGCCTCTTTCATTCCACTTTCCTAATTCATGTTTTCCAATATCTTTGCCACCAGCCCCACCTCTTCCTACCTTTTCATTGGAGTCGCTGAATATGAAAGTATATTTTGATGTTATTATTGTTTTCATAAAACTTCTCTACTTCTTCAATCTCTACAACAGATATTGGTACCTAAGTCACAATTAATCTTTTTTGAAAATACTAAATATGAGCACTACAATGTGAGATGACCCAATGTCCCATGAAATTATATTGCTTGTTGGATTTGGGCATGCAATAAAACCAACTCCATCAATTCCTTCATTCTCAAAGGACAACTTGTGATGACACCTTCTATTTAGCTGTGACTTCCTTTGTAGTTCTAGTTTCCTTTACATCAAGAGAGAGAAAGAGAAAATTGATAAGGAATTTGGGAAACAGACCACGAGCCTGACACAGAGGTATCATATAATAATGATGGCGGACTTCAAGTATCCAGAAATCTTTTGGATTTCTCTTCCTGCCATAAGTGGAGCCATGATTTCATCCTTCAAAAGGTGGAAGAACCAATAAGGGGGAATTCTGTCTTATTCTTATTAATCTTATTCTCACTAACTGAGAAACACTAGTTCCTGGGGATGAAAATGATGGGAACCCTGTGGGGGAAGTAACCACTCCAGCTAGAGTATGTTATAGAGAAGAGGTCATTTAAGCCTAGTCAAACATGAGCCCTAGATTTGGGGAAAGCAGATTTTAAAGGCTTCAGAGGAAAGATAGGTAATAGGCCATGGAGTAAAATGCTTCAGGGGAGTCAGTGGAAGACAGATGGGGACTACTGAAGAACAAAATACTGAAGATGCCCCAAAACTGAATGGGATTAGTGTGAAGAGACCATTATGGATACACAGGGAACTCATCAATCAACTTAGATTTTTTAAAATAAATGTACAGAAGACGTAAGCAAGGCCAAGTAACAGAGAATGAATACGAGTATGGCATGGTCATATAAAAAATACTGTCAGGAAAGCTAAATGAGCTTTTGAAGCTGTCAGAAGAAGCTAAGAACAATTTTAAAAAGTTGGTTTTTCTTTTTTTTAGCTATATTGGGAGAAAAATGAGGATCACAAGAAGGAATAAGTCCTTTGCTATTGATAGAGCACAGATAATTGACAACAGAGGGAAAGCCGATCTGCTCAATTCTCATTTTGTTTCTTTTTTCTCTGAAAAGAAGAATGCTCTTTACATTGCAAATGAAAGGATGAAAGTGATGAACAGGACATTGATAACCAAGATAAGTAAGGAGATAGTAATAGGGCACCTAGCTAACTTCAATGAATTTGAGTTACCTGGCCCATCTGCAGGTCTTGAAGATACTGGCAGGTGTGGCTGCTGAGCCACTATTAGTGATATTTGAAAGACTATGGACAAGGGAGATTAAAGAAGGGCAAACGTGGTCCCAATTTTTTAAAAAGGAAGAGAACAGATTCTGAAAACTATAGGTCAGTGAGCTTGCCTTTGATTCTTGGGAAAATTCTAGAATGGACCGTTGAAGAGATGGTTGGTGAGTATCTATCTAGGAAAGCATAGTTTATGGAAAGCCAGCAAGGCTTCATCAAAGAATAGGTCATGCTAGACTAACCTTATTTTCTTTTTTTGGACAAAATTGCTAGAAGAGGTGAATGGTGTGGCTATGGTTTACCTGTATAGCAATGTTGAAGGAGATAGTATCCCTCACTACTGGCTTGTAACCCAGATGGATTTTCTCAGTATAAATGTTCCTTCTCCATTCTGGAATGTGGTATCAAAAGATATATACTTCTGTTTATCTTTTTGTCAGCTCCAAGCCAATACCCAGACTTGGTACTTATGACAAAACATTTCATTGTTTGCTCTGTTGATATATTTTCACTGGGGCTGTTTCCTTCTCAGTTGCTTTTTCCCAACTGCATTTCTAACAAGTAAAACCCTGACTAGCAATTACCAGTGTTTACCCTCGGTTTTAAAGACAAAGCAAATTTTAAAACAACAGAGGGTAAATAATCATCTTCCAATATCCAGAAGAAAAGATTTCAAGCTCCAAAGGAAATAAAGGATTATTTGGGGTCTATAGTCCAGGGATTTAGGCAACATACCTTCTATCCCAACATGCCTTATGCCTAATAAGCCCAAGCAACCTCACTCTGACAGACTTGACCCTCTTGTTGTGTTGGTCGCCTCTGAAAACACTTCTAATCTCTGAAATCCATGTAGCTTTTCACAGCTTTTCTTCCAGTTCCATATAGCTTCCCACATACTATCAGTAACCATGTTCCTATTTAAATCTCTCTTCTGGACTCTTTTGCTCTGACTTTTAAGAGTTACCCCAAGATATGGTTCACCATTCTTCATCATGTCTTGTTCCTCCCTTTTTTATTCATTCAAGTGACTATTTGAGAAACTAGCAGTTGATTGTCCCATCATCCTCTCCCCTTATCAAACCTCATATGGAGTTTTGCATTTTGTTCTGGGCACCAAAGTTTAAGAAAGCTATCCATAATCTGAAAAGCATCCAAAGGAGGGAAATCAGGATGGTGAGGAGCCTTGAGTCTGTGTCATATGAGGATTAATAAGAAACTAGGGATATTTAGCTTGACTCCTGGTTTGAGGTGATGTTTCTGTGACAAGTATCTTTACTAAATCTTAGTAAGTACTCTTTTAAAAAACTAATTCAACTCTTGCTGATTGATAATGAGGAGAATAGTCGATAGGAACCTGTGGGCAAAGGCACTAAAAATTCCTAACCATTCAGGTTATCCCTAAAATCCTGAGGAGAGTAATGCTCAGCTGCCCTCTGGGGACTTCCAATGTTGGGAGTTGGGAGAGTGAGTTGAGATAGAGTGGTAGAGTAGGATTTTCCAGAGCTTGTATACCTGGCAGAGTTGTTGAGGACTCAGGGTCACCTCCATACCACAATAAGGCATTGGAGTAGAATTTTGTAGAGGATAACTTTCATATACACCAACAAACATTCATTCGGTTCTTTAAATCAAGATTTCAACTACTTTCTTGTTCCATTATTATAAGTTCATAACAGTTTTGTAAACCAGCTTCAACAAAGAATTTATACAACATTGATTTCAGCTTATTACTATAACTAGTGCACCAAGTGTTAAGTTCTTGTCCATAACACCTAGGAAACTAGAAATAATAGGAACTATATGAATGATGCTTTAAGGTTTGCAGATTGTATTTCCATATGTAACCTGGACTTTTGGGGGCATGACTACTTCTAACATGGAGCCTGCTACATCTTCTACCATGTGGGTAGGGGTAACTTCCTTTGATTGGCTCCCTAAGTCTTTAACACCAGTGAGACTGAGCTATTTACTCTCTTTTCCACCATATTTTTTGGTGGTGCTATTTTCCGCCACACTCTACCGTGTTCTTCTTCGCCCATTGTGGACATGATGAACTGATTGGTGAGAGGGGAAAGATGCAGAGAAATGGGCTTGATCGTTTGTCCTTCCTGGTTTCAGGTCCTAAAAATGATCCTGATGGGACTGGGAATTGGAGCTATGGTGACCTTAGAGCCAGGATTTCAGGCTGACTTGTGCAGCCAGCCAGCTCAGTATGGAAGCCCTGAGAAGCCAGGGAACCTGGGACACGAGCCCAAGGAGGATTTTGAACTTGGAACTGGGACTGAGCTCTATGAGAACCAAACTAGACTACATCTTAATCTCCTTTCCATCCCCAGAGATTGAAGTGATTCAAGAAGAAAAGAGGATTATGCCACCCACATGTCGGAAGGAGTAAGTTGTTTGTTTGTGATTATACGTTTGGAAGTAAATGTTTCTCTGTAAAAGGTTTTGTGTTACGCATATATTTGCTCCTCACAACAACTCTGAGAGGAAGATAATATTATCCCTATTTTATAGATAAGGAAACTGAGGCTGAGAGAGATTATATGATTTGCCAATGATCACCATGCTAGTAAGTGCCTGAAGTCTCAATTCAAGTCTTCCTGGTTCCAGATCCAGCACTGTATCCTCTGTATACCTAGCTATTATAGAATTCTTTCCTAGAATTCTTTTTAAAAATGCCTGTGTTCTTCTACATAAGGCCAGAATTTGAGATGTCAGGTTCAGAGTACCTCAAGCAAGAGAACTCAAAATTGGTACCTGAGGATGGCAGCTTAGCCACAGTATTTCACTACAGTAAAAATAACTCCTATCTCCAGGAATCATGGTGGAGTACAAAGAGAACTGGATATAAGTGTGAGGGCTCAAATTCAAATGCCATCTCAGCTTTGACTCTCTGAGGGACCTTGGGCAAATCACTGACTCTAGGAATGAGTTTCCTTACCTTACTGAGTTTCATGGTGGAGGAGAGTGGACTTGATGGACTTGATGACCTCTAAGGTTCCCTTCTGGTTCTAAATCTATGATCTCTATGTCTATTGACATCATCCAAAGAATGATAGCTCTTTCCTTCGGGACTTAAGAAGGAAAACTATGACCCTTACTCCCAAATCCCTCTTCAGCATTATGTTACCCAACAGCAGCACCCTCTAAAGCCATTTTGTCCATGAATAGCCAAAAACAAAATTGGCACTGTAATTGTTGTTTTGTTTTCCTTTCATCCTAGGTCCATGCCAACATTTTCCCAAAACTGCTAAAATCATGAGAAAGTAGTTCTAGTCGGCTATCATCACTACACCAAGAAATCTCTTATCACTCATCAGGTGCAAGGAGCTGTCCATAGTTCCTGTCCTTAGGCATTGGTCTCCTGATGTCTGTTAATATGTCGTGACAAAATCCCAGCTTAATTCATGTTGCAAAACCCTGTTGTCAAGGTTGATAGTTCCTACAATAGCCTCCAGCTTGATCCCCATCTAATTACTCTTTCACTCACTCTGTCCATGCTAAACTCTCATCCTCATCCTCACCCCCAATGTTGCTCTCAGCGTTATCGCCTCCCATACCACTGACCCTTCCTGTCCCTCTCCAGATCCCATCCCTCCACCCTAACCCTGTCCCGGCACTCTTGACAGGCTGCACTATATTCTAGCTTTCCTCACCCAGGTTCTAAAGTATTCAACCCTATGCTGTCACCTGTGCCCAGGGCAGGTCTAATGTGTTTCCTGTGTGCCTCTCCCTCCTCGAGCCTACTATATTCATCTCCTAGCACTCCTTCCCCAGAAAAAGTGTATCCCATTTATAACCTTGTGCTCATGGCACTCACTATCCTCAGTAACATTATTGGCTTTGTGGAACCAGTTAGGCATGGTATCCCTAGCTTCTACAGAGCTCCCCTTTCGCAGCCTGGGTATTTTCATCTCTCTTTTCTTAGATCCCTACAGACAACCAGTCTAATCACTTTAATCTTAGCTATAGAAGACACATAGAGAAAACAGAGAGAAGAATACAGCAAAACCCCAGATATCATGGAATGCTTATGGGTTGGAAGATGAGCGAAAAGGAACAGGATTTTCTTTCTTGGTCTGGGAGCAATTAGAATTTGAAGAATGATAGAGGAATGGACATCATTTCAAGTCTCACCTCAAACGTGTATTAATTGTCTGATCCTAAGCAAATCACTTAACTTAGTATATAAAATGGAGTTGTTGGGCAGCTGGGTCGCATAGTGGATAGAGTGATGCGCCTGGAGTCAGAAAGACTCATCTTCCTGAGTTCAAATCTGGCCTCAAACACTTATTAGCTGTGTGACCCTGGGCCAGTCACTTAACCCTGTTTGCCTCAGTTCCTCATCTGTAAAATAAGCTGGAGAAGGAAATGGTGAACCACTCTGGTATCTTTGCCAAGAAAACTCCAAATGAGGTCACAAAAAGTCAGACACAAGTGAAATGACTAAACAACAAAAATAAAATGGAGATAATAATAGTACAGAACTCAGGGGTATTGTGAGAAGCCATTCCCAACCTCCCTTAATTCTAGTGCCTTACCTCAGTTGATTATCTCCAATTTATTCTGTGTATGTCATGTTTGTACATGGCTGTTTGCACATTATCTCCTCCACTGGACCTAAGCTTCTTGACAACAGGAACTGTCATTTGCCTTTCTTTGTAATCTCAACAGTGCCTGGCACATAGTAGGTGCTCAATAAATATTTATTGATAGACTGACTTAGATGTCAGCTATTAATACTACTAATATTCCTCCACAAAGGAAATCATTTTACATAGAGCTGACTTGGGCTTTCATTTTTTGCTTTATTTTGCTTATTTCAGCTTATTCTTTGAAGACCTAAGAATATCTCCTTTGTTGGAGTTTCATCCAGGCCACACTCTGTGACTACTGGTGTCCCCCAAAGTCCTGTTCTAGGTCCTCTTCTCCCTCAACACTATTTAACTTAGTGATCTCATCAGCTCCTATGGATTCAATTGTCATCTTTATGATGATTCTCAGATCTATTTATCCAGCCCTAACCTCTATCTAGTTGCCTGTTGGCAATCCAATTACACATATCCAATTACCTTTTGGACATCCCTACCTGGATGTCCCACAGTCAACTCTTTCAAAACTTAATTCACTGCAATGTGTCTTTCTCCCCAAACCTTAGCCTTTCCCTAATTTCCCCATTCCTGTTAAGGGTACCACCATCTTTCCAGTTAACCAGGCTCACAAAATAGGCCTTATCCTTGACTCCTAATTCTCCCTTGCCCCCATTCAATCATTTGCCATGTTCTTTTACAGCTTCTCTCCGATATTGCCCTCTCTTCTTTGACACTGCTGCCACTCCTGCTGCAGGCCTTCATCACCCCATCACTGACCTGTTGCAATAATGTGCTGATTAGCCTTCCCAACCCAAGGTTCTCTGTCTTCTACTCACCTATCAAAATGATCTTCCTAAAGTACAGATCTGGCTATATCATTCTCTTATTAATAAACTCCAATGGCTCCCTATTGCTTCCATATAAAATCCTCTGTTGAGCTTTTAAAGCCCTTCATAACTGAGCCTCCTCCTACTTTTCCAGTCTTAGATTTTACTATCCTCCGCGTACTTTGCAAATCCACTTGTTCCTTAAACAAGATACCCCATCTCCCTATTCCACAGTTTGCTCTTCCTTCTTTGTATTATCCCTTCTTCTTCATCTCTAAACTCATAGCTTCTCTGGATTCCATAGGGACTCAGCTAAAATCCTACTTCTACAAGAAGCATTTCTTGGTCCTCCTTAATTTAGTGTCTTCCTTGTAAGATTATCTCCAATTTATCTTGTTTGAACATAGTTGTTTTGGAGAACGAAATGGCAAACCTTCCCCAGTATCTTTGTCAAGAAAACCCCAAATGGGGTCACAAAGAGTAGGACACAACTGAAAAATGACTGAACAACAATAACACATAGTTGGTTGCATATTGTCGTGAGCTCCTTGAGAACAAGGAATGTTTTTGCCTTTCTTTTTATCGCTAGCATCTAGCATTGTCCCTGGCACATAGTAGAAGCTTAATTAAATACTTGTTGACTTGGTTTGAAACAAAAGTATGAGTATGATCCTTCTCTAAAACCCTATTCTGATTTTTTTTTCATTATGGGCAAATCCTGGATTTCTAAAGTCTTTGTCAGTGAAATGGAAACTCTGGGAAAGTTCTACGGAGCCAGAAGACTTAAGTATGATCCAATACTTCTAGTCTTTGAGGACCAGCCAAAATAAATATGAAGAGCCTCATGACTAGGATGATTAATTTTGCTGACTTTAGCAATTCTCCTCTTGAGTCATAGAAGTGTTGGGTGAGTTTGGGAAGAGAATATGTGGGAATTTCACATCAGTGAAATCAGAAATGCTTGTTATAAATAGGTAACCTGAATAGTTACTAGCATGAAGTGAACAGGGCTTTATCCCTGGGTACTGGCAGGGGAGAAATACTTTCTCCCTGTGGGGATAGCTATCCCTTGGCTTTGGCTCAGTCCTTTGTAGTATGAGTGAGCTGCTACCCTCAGGGTACCATCACCATAGTTCCCCTTTCCCAGTCCAGCTTCTACCCGCACCTCAGCAGAAGAAGGTGGGCCAGACAGACGGTCTTCACTATCTATTGCATAGCATCTACCTTGGTGGGACTCCTTTGCACGTCTGCCTCCCCCTAGCTTTTTTTTTTTTTGCCCAGGTGAAAAGTTTTCTAGCTTTTGCTAGAAGCTTAGAACATCATAGGAAATACAGTACCACCTCTTCACAATGCTGCTGTGGACTAATCACCCTATTTCTGAGCAACTGTATTGTACCAGGCTTTTATTGTAATGGCAAAAATGTAGGCCAGTTCCAATGTAGGCTGCATTTCTGTAATGAAATCATTTTGAAAGAAATAGAAGATAAGAAAATAATTATACAAAATTACCATATTAAAAGATACTGACCTGTTTGGGAGAAATCTGCCATTTTTTCCAAAAGTAAATATTTCAGGTTTATGGAGCTTATTGGCCATTACTCTACAATGCATATTCTGTCCTTATAGAGCACATCTCCTGACACTTTACCCAGGACGAGCTCATTTAGATTAAATATAGAAACTGTTAAATCAAGAGTTGGGTATGCTAAGGAGATAACCTTTGGGAAAGAAAGTATTTTCCCAGCTGTCTTTGTTAGCTCCTCTCACTCCTTTATTCACTCTCCTGTCCTTCCCCCAGAAGTCTCCACCCCACTCCCACACCTCCCACCCCCCATAAAGTGGTGAAATAAATATTTCTTCCACCAGCAGTAGTGTGAATTGAGTGCTGGACTTGAGGTCTAAATGACCTGAGTTCTAATCCTCAGGTCCTTATTATATATGTGGCTCTGAGCAAGTCACTTTAACTTCC